GATAGTCAAGAGGATCGTTCGGCCCTGGTCGGCGAGCTTTCGCAAGAGCCGCATCACGTTGGCGGCGTCCTCGCTGGCGAGGCCCGAGGTCGGCTCGTCGAGACAGAGCAGGCTAGGCTCCGTCAATAACTCCAGCGCGAGGTTGACCCTCTTTCGCTGACCTCCAGAGATCCCCTTTCTCTCTGGCGAGCCGATGCGCACATCCGCCGTGTCCGCGATCTCCAGATCGAGCAGGACCTCCTGGATGCGGCGGTCGATCTCGATATCACTGGTGTCCTGTGGCAGGCGCAGCTTGGCCGTGTAGTAGAGCGCCTCGTAGACGCTGAGTTCGCCGTGGATGATGTCCTCTTGTGGGACGTAACCGATGGCGCCTCGGTAGCGATCGTAGTGTGTGGCCAGATCATCGCCGTTGAGCGTGGTGCGCCCATAGGTTGGCGAGAGGTAGCCGATCATCGACATCAGCAAGGTCGTCTTGCCCGCGCCCGAGGGACCCATCAGGCCGACGAACTCGGTGGGGTAGGCGGTGAATGAGATCCCGTCGAGCAAGCGCTTGACGCGGCCCTCGTTCTTGACGTCGACGCGGATGTTCTCGGCTTGCAGCAGGATGTCGCCGCGGTAGCTCTTTTGCAGCGCGCCGCGCGCCAGATCGATGCGCACCGCGTAGGTGCCAAAGCTCAGGGTGTCATCGCTCGAGATCTCGGCGCGCCCGACGCGCTTGCCGTTGACGAAGGTGCCGTTGGCGCTGGCGAGATCCTCGACGAAGAAGGTCTTCTCCTTGCGGATGATGCGCGCGTGATGGCGCGAGACCTGCGGCGCGTCGAGGACGATGTCATTGTCCGAGCCGCGGCCGATGGTGATGATCTTCTTGTCGAGCGGCATCGCCAGCTTGCCGCTCGAGGTCATGTCATCCTTGTTCCCCAAAAAGTCGCGCAGTCGGCTCAGTGGGAAGCGATAACTCCCCATGTAGATGACGTCCTGCTCCTTTGCCTCGACCTTGTCGATTTGCTGAGAGTGGCGCTCGTTGAGGAAGGTGCCGTTGGCGCTCCCGAGATCCTCGACGAGCCAGCCATATTCGGTGCGCGTGAGGCGCACGTGCTGGCGAGAGATCTGAGGCGCGTCGAGGATGATGTCTGCTTCTGGATCGCGGCCGATGATCACGATCTCCGGGCCGCTCGGTCCAACGACCGCCTCCATCGCCTGCGTGGGGCGCGCGTCCATGGCGTGTTCGGTCAGCCGCTGCGTGAGCTCCTTGTCGAGCTTGAACGCGTAGCTCCCCAGCCCGAGGACATCTCCCGGCCTGGCGATGGCGCAGGAGACGTCGCGGCCATTGATAGAGATGCCGTTGGTGGAGTTGAGATCCTTGAAGTAGTAGTCACCCGTGGATGGCGAGTAGGCGAGCACGGCGTGGTGGCGCGAGATGGTGTTGCGCGGGACGACGATGTCGTTGTCCTCGCTGTAGCCAAAGCGCAACCTGCGCGCGTCATCGGGGATGCGCTCGGCCTCTGATGGGGCGGGCAGCTCGTGGTGAGAGTCATCGCTGGCGGCGGTCAGCTCGACGGACTTCGACGCTGGCGAGACCATCCGGTGCTCTTCAGTGACATCCTCGGCCATCGCGTCACGCAGCTTCATGATCTCCTGGCGCGTCTTCTTGACCTCGGTCTCCTCGACCAGCCCCGCCTGTTGTCCTGCGTTGATAAGGTCGTCGATGCTCGGGCGCTCTTCCTCGCGCGTGATCTTTGGCCCGGAGCTCGTCGGGAGTTGCCCCTGGCAACGATCGCAAGAAGAGGCGCCAGGAGCGTTCGACGCACCACAATGGGGGCAGAATATGACGTTGCTCTGTTCGACGCTCATCTTGGCCGCTTGCTCTTTGGCAAAGTCCGATTGTCAGGGTCTGACTCTTGTACGTCATTTCCAGATGTGTGTGAAGCGCATACCCGCCCCCGGCTTGCTTCAGTGAAGCGAGTGCCTAACCTCCCTGTGTCACCACTCATCACCGCGTTCTCTATCAAAGGGAAGGAGCACCCATGGCTCGCGTCAGATCCTACACCCAGTATGTCGTCACCGGCGCCAACCGAGGCATCGGCCTCGAATTCGTCAAGCAGCTCGCCGAAGATGGCAAGCACATCATCGCCACCGCGCGCGATCCAGATGGCGCGAGCGAGCTGCAGGCGATCGCCGCAGTCAGCGAGCAGCGCGTGCGGATCATGCAGCTCGATATCGCGGATGCGGCGAGCGTGGATGCGTTCGTCGAGGAGATCGCCAACCTCGATATCGACGCCTTGATCAACAACGCGGGGATCTATCCTCGCTCCGGCTCGCTCGGTTCCATCGACTGGGATACCGCGCGCAAAGGCTTCGAGGTCAACACCATCGCGCCGCTGCGTCTCTCCGAGGCGCTCTTGCCAAACGTCAAGCGCAGCAAGGGCAAGCTCATCATGAACGTCACCTCGCAGATGGGCTCCATCGATGACAACGGCTCGGGCGGCTCTTACGCCTATCGCATGTCCAAGACGGCGCTCAACATGGGGACGCGCTCGCTCGCCAATGACACGCGCGGCGACGGCGTCATCGCGTTCGTGATTCACCCTGGCTGGGTGCAGACCGATATGGGCGGCCCCAACGCCAAGATCACCACAGAGAAGAGCGTCTCGGGGATGCTCTCGGTGCTGCATAATGCGACCGATGAGACCAGCGGCGCGTTCATGAACTGGAACGGATCGACGCTCCCCTGGTGACCGCTGACGTCCAGCTCATCGGAGCGTGGCTGGCGCGAACTTGCCAGCTTGCTCCGGTGAGTTGGCGATTGTAGACTCGGGTCGAGAAAGCTCTCGATATCCTCCCGTCAGCCTTACCTGTATCACGCGCGGGAGAACCCATGACCTCGAGTCAGCCATGTTTATCATTCGCCGCTCCGCCGCATATATCCTTCCTCTCTGTGCCCTGTCGATCCTCGGCAGTGGATGTTTGCTAAAGACCAACACCGACGCCGAGGGGCGCGATGTGATCTCCTCCTCGGATATGGATCAGGGCGTCGTCACGCTCCCTCCAGAGGATATGGAAAGCGACGGTGATATGAGCGCGCCATCGGACATGTCCACGCCGCCATCGGATATGGCGTCGGGGCCGTGCGGCGCTGACGAGCAGGATAATGATGGCGACGGCACCTGCATGCCGACGTGCGAAGCCTCGGGCATCAATTGTACGGGGATGGGCGTGTGCAGTGACGCGATGGGCGAGGCGAGCTGCACGCAGACGCCTGCATCGTGCGAGCAGGTCAGATCGCTCGCGCTCACACAGGATGATGGCTTCTACACCCTCTACGCGCAAAACGATCCGCAGAAGCCGTGGCGCGCGATCTGTGTGGACATGAACACGCCCACGCCAGGGACCTACCTTCCTCTTGGCGTCAACAGCGGGAGCTCGAACCGCTTCGAGTACGTCGATATCCGAGAGACCAGCTCGGGGAGCGGGAACTTCGAGGCGGTCACGATGGCGGTCACGACCTTCTGGATGGTGCGCGTCGATCCGTTGACGTTGCGCGTCGATCTCGAAGACTTCACCTTCTCGAGCACCGAATACTACGACGTCGAGATCGAGAACTCTGGCAAGCGCGTGCCGTTCGGGACCGCCGAGTCCTGCTCGAAGCAGATCCAGGACGCGCTCCAGTGGCAGGACGCCAGCAGCGTCATCGACCTCACGCACACGCCGTTCAAGATCGCGGACCGCTTTGTCGCCGCTGGCGAGTGCGCCGAGCCCTTCGATGCCGAGGTCGATGGGGTCGTGCAAGAGATCGAGATCAACGGCGGCAGCCCCACCGCGAGCGAGTGCGCGATGGTCGGCCCCGAGTCCTACGCGGCGCGCCAGGGGAGCCAGTGCGAGGGGGGCGACGTGGTCGAAGGGCAGGCTGGCGTCGAGCCCTTCATGCAGCTCGCCTACGTCGGGTCGAGCACCGATCCTTCCGAGGTCCCCAGGACGTGCCTCGAGCTCAAGTTCGCGGACTTCTCCAGAGAGGATGGCGATTACACGCTCTACGCCGATCGCGATCCTGGGAAGCCCTGGAACGCGACCTGTGAGGGGCTCACCGCCATGACCGAGAAGAGGTTCTTGAAGACGGGGCGAGCCGCCGGCCCGAAGGAGTACCTCGAGCTGGCCGAGGTCACCGGCGAGAGCAACCTGATGCAGGAGGGCGGGGATGACACCAACCCTGTGCGCAAGGAGACGAGGTATACGAAGCTTCGCATCGATCCTCGCACCTTCGAGGTCAACGTCGTCGATGACAGCTACGCCGAGACGACGCTTATCGAGCAGGATCTCAACGATCAATCCTCGGTCAAATATGGGATCGTCTCCTCCCGCTCGCAGTTCTGCTGCAACGGAAACTACCCAGGAAAGGGCGTGATCGATCTCACAGGGACTGGTTTTCAGGTCGATGACACGTTCCTGCTTTACGGCGAATGTCCGGTCGGCGGCGCCACGCCTCCACAAGGAGGCGCGAAGGTGACGCTCCTCGGTGATGGCTCTCCGGGGACGATCGGTCCACGCCGCGCGGCGCTCCCCACCATCCGCTCGTGCAACGAGGTGTTCGTCGAGGGTTCTCACTACTCCGAGCTCAACTTCATCCTGCGCCTGAGCTACCCCTGAGCTACCCCTCCAGGCTTCGTGTTCGGGCCTGCCAACTGTATGGAGCACCAACTCCTAAACCCAGGCGCTGGAGAGGGCGACTACACGCTTTACCCGAACAAGCCGTGGACGGTTCGCCACGAGCCTGAATCTTATTATTCGGAGGATGATTTTGTCCTCCAGCTCGCGCCATTTCCCTGAAGTTGGAATGAGGTATGTCCGCAGTGGTGCTCGGACTATGAGGGTGGTACAAGGGCACCTCCATTGTCAGGGACAAGGAGTCGAGAAGATAGATGAAGAGCACGCAGCGTATCAAAGCGGGATTTGTCATCAATGACCGCTTCGAGATCGTGAAGAAGGTCGGTGAGGGGGGCTTCGCGATGGTGTTCGAGGGTCGTGATCTGAACCTCGATCGCCAGGTTGCCATCAAGGTCCTCCACGGGGCGTTGCTCGGAGGTGGCGACGACCGCGAAAAGGACGTGCTCGAGCGCTTCGAGAGGGAAGCAAGGCTCGCCGCGACGGTCGATCACGGGAGCATCGTCAAGATCTACGACGTCGGCGAGATCGCTGGCGTCGACGAGCCCTTCATCGTGATGGAGTTTTTGCGCGGTTGTTCCTTGCAGGATTACATCGAGAAGCACGGCTCGCTCGATCCCCAAAAGCTCCTCCCGCTCTACCAGGATCTTCTGGTCGGCCTCGGCTTCGCGCACGAAGCAGGCATCGTCCACAAGGACCTCAAGCCAGACAACATCTTCTACCGTTACCCTGGCACCATCCGCGAGTCCTTCTGCGTGGTGGACTTTGGCATCGCGCACATCGGTCGAAACAACAGCCGCCGCGTGACCAAGAATGGCGAGTTCTTTGGCACCCCCGCGTATATGGCGCCCGAGTACATCACCGAGCAAAAGGTCTCGGCCGCGGTCGATGTGTACCAGATGGGGTTGATCCTGCTCGAGTGTTTGACGGGCCAGCCGTTCCTGTTCCACGAGGACGCGATGGCCAACCTGTTGATGCACCTCAACAGGACCAAGGGGCTGCCAAAGGGGATCGCTGGCACCAGGCTCGGCGCGATCATCGAGCGCGCCATCTCGCAGGACCCTGACGTGCGTTACCAGAACGCGATGGAGTTCGCCGAGGCGCTCTCCGAGGTCAACGTCTCTACCATAGCATCTGTGGGGGGCGCGCACAGCAAGGCCACTCGCCAGACGCCCCCTCCGTCGGATGTGACAATGCCTCCGTCAAAACCCAGGTCCACCATACCCGGCGTCGCCGCGCTGATGGACATCGACACGGGACTTGGCGATGACGAGTCCGAGGCGGCCATGTCCTGGCATGCCGAGGCGGAGCTCGAGGGAGACATCGACTCGTTTGCCTTCGAAGACACGGTCGCGCAAAAGGGCCGCTCGACGAAGTTCATCGAGCAACAGGTCGTCTCGGATCTGAGCGAGGCTAGCGACATCATCGAGGAGCGTGAGGATCTGCTCCGCCACCGCGCAGAGCGCGAAGCCGCCGCGTCTGATGAGTTCGACATCGATGAGGAGTTCGACGAGGATATCGAGGAGAGCGACCCGCCGCCGACCGCTGAGGTCAGCGACACCTCGCGGCAACGCGCGATGGTGCCCCGCTCGCAGACCGGGGTCATGCACGAGGTCGACTTCTTCGAACCTGACCCTCCCTCGAATAACAAGAAGATCATGGGGTTGTTGGCGGCCTTGCTGCTGATGATCGTGGTGGCTGGCGGCGTGGCCGTGACGCTCGCGAATAACCAGAGCGGGGGCAAGGCGCCAGAGAACGTCGACCCAGGTTCGCTCGCGGCAAAGAGCGGCGAAACCACTCCGGCGAAAGAGACCTCGCCACCAGCGGAAACCACACCCGCCAAGGAGGCCGCCGAGAAGAAACCCGTTGTCATCGTTCAGATCGCGACGGTTCCCGAGGGAGCGAGCGTTTATGATGGCGAGACGCTGCTCGGTAAGACGCCCTATCCGGTGGAGTTCGAGAGCGAGGAGTCCGAGGAGCGCGCGCTCCTCGTGCGCCACGAAGGCTACGAGGATCTCGCGCTCGATATCTCGGCGCAGGGTCCAGCTATCGTGACCCGCGCCCTCGTCAAATCCAGAACCAGGGCTCGCCCGAGCGCGAAAGCGGATGACAAAACCACTCGCAAAAACACCAGCAGCAAGGCGTCTTCGGAGGTCGCGAAGTCGACGACCAGGCAACCCCCCAAAGAAACCACATCACCTGCTGAAGAAGTCGAGAAGAAAACCGCGCCCAAGCTCGTCTTGCCTGGTCAGAAGAAACCTGACAAGAAAAAGAGCAACGGTATCGTGCTTCCCAAGTAATTTCGCGCCCCATGCCCGCAGGAGACCTCGGATGGGTCATCGTTTCAGGTCGAGTTCCATTGCATTTTTGATCTGCCTCGCCTGGCCGCTCGATCTCTGGGCTCAGGAGACCGTCCAACTCACCGAGGAGCAGATCAACCTCAACAACCGCGCCGTCGGTTTGCTCGAGGCGAATCCTCCCAGACCCAAGGAGGCGATCTCGCTCGTACAGGCAGCCATGGTCACCGGCGAGAAGGGCGACCTGTTGCACCTGACGCTCGGGCGCGCTTATCAACTCGACAATCAGTGTGACAAGGCGGTCGAGGAGTTCGACAGAGCGCTCTCTGCGCCCGGCGTCGAGGGTTTGCCCGAGGGCTTCATCCAAGCGCAGACCGAGACCTACCGAAAAGACCTCGGCACGATGTGCGATGGCGAGCTCGTGATCGCGTGTGAGCCCGACGGGCTCGAGCTCTCGAACAAGGACCGAAAGCTCTCGTGTGGCGAACCCGCTACGTTCGCGCCCGGAACCTACGAGATCGACGCGCGCAACCCCGAGACCGACGCCAGCGTCTCCATTCAAGCGGTCATCGTGGGAGCCGAGACCACCAAAACCACCATCAAACTGGGCGGCAAGAAGAAGGACGACACCACCGTCGTCATCGAACCTGATCCGACCCCCTCAGTGCCCGAGAAGAACCTCTTTATCACTGGAAACATCGGCGTCCCCGCAGGCTATTGCCTCGCCAGGTTGGTCCGCGATGGCGGCACCTCGCAGGAGGCCAACGCCACGGACGCCGCCGTGTGTTATGGCGTGCAGGCTGACATCATGGCGACGCGCGCCATCTCGGATGCGTTCGCCATCGGCGGCATGGCGATGGCGCGAGGTGTCATGGCGAACGCGCTCGGGCAGGTCGATGATCAGGAATCACTCGCGCTGCGCGGTTTCGATGTCGGCGCCGGGTTGCAAGGTTGGTTCGCCGGTCGCAAGGTTGGCCTCGAGTTTGGCACGCGCTGGCGCATTCGCCGCGTGATCTTTCAGGGCGAGACCCTCGAAGACACCACGGCGCCCCTGATGGCAGGCCCCGGCTTGCTCCTCCAACTCGGCGACGTGATCGGCGCCCTGGACGGGCTCGGCGTCAACGCGCGTTGGATGCCTGTCGCGAACGGGCTCGACACGCTCGCGCTGGACGCGAGCATCGCCAGAGGGCCGCTCTCGGTGTGGCTCGGTTACGAATCCTGGCAAGGCGATGTCGGCACCGATGGCCTCACACACCGCGCAGAGCAGGTCATGCTCGGCGTCGGGTATCACTGGGGCGACTGAGCCTGCACGCACACCTTGCGGCGTTTCTCGTCGCTCCCCACCTGATAGCGGTACTGGCAGACATAGCCAGGCCGACACTCCTCGTGTTTCTTGCATCGCACATGACAGGCGCCTGCTGTCGCGTCCCACTCATCAGAGGCGCACATCGTCCTCGGCGCGCCTCTGACATAGGGGCACTTCCCCTCACAGGAGAGCGAGCAAAACCCTTGCGTCTTGCTCGAGTCACACCGCGCCTCGCTCAATCTCGAGCTCGTCGCGCAGGGCTCATTCTTTGATGTGTTACACGCGCCGCCCACGCCGCCGTTATGAGGATGTGCTTCGAGCGGGGGTGTCCACTCGGGATCGCACTGCGGCGTGGTCTCGAAGAGGTTATCGGGATCGAACATGTTGTAGGAGCCAAAGATACGGTGCACGTGTGCGTTGGCTTCTGCGGGGATCTTTGCCTCGCTGCGCGCGATATCTCCGACATAGCGGTCACCACCATCGCGGTGAAGCCAGAGCGGGATATAGCGCACGCCATTGATTTTGGCGCGGGCGCCCGGCTTCTCTCGCGTCAGCCCCAACATCAACATGATCGAGGTGCGCTCGGCCATCTCGGCCATGTTGCTCACGAAGTTGCCCGTCGAATACAGGATAAATCCCTCTCGGCCATCCTCGGTGTCATGCTTCTCCCACGGCTGGAGGACGTGCACGTGTCCGCCGATCACCGCCGTGGCGCCAGCTTCGATAAGCTCTCTGCCGAGCTTTCGTTGCTTGCCGCGAGGTTCTTCGCGGTACTCCCAGCCCCAGTGTGGCGTGACGATGATGGCGTCGAGCGAGGGGTCCTTTGCCAGCTGCTCGACTGTGCCGATGACGGCGGCGCGGTCGTCGTAACAGAACAGCACCTGTTCGTGATAATCAGGCAAGCCGTTGGTGCTATAGGTGCACGCGAGCCAGGCGATCTTCCATCCATTATGCTCGGTGATCGTGTGCCACCGCTTCGGCACGCCGCGTTTTTTCCACGTGGAGCGACGCGTGCCGGTGTAGGCGAGTTCCGCGCGCTCGAGCGCGTCGATAGTGCGATCCACGCCGATGCCTGCGCGATCGAGGGTGTGGTTATTTGCCGTCGAGACGACGTCGAAACCAGCATCCTCCAGATCCTCGACGAGCAGCGGGTGATAGTTAAACCTTGGCCACGTCGAGTACACCTCACCATCGAAGCGAAATCCCGGATCATCCTCGGCGAGCTCTCCCCCTTCGAGCACCCCTTTGGCGGTGGGGCCTTCGAGGTTGGCGTAGGCGATATCGGCGCCCTCGATCAGGTCACTGACCGGGAACCAGAGCGAGCCAAAGCGTTTATCGCGCTTGGTCGCCTGGCGTTGCAGGCGGCTATGGAGGAGGACATCTCCGACCGCCGCGATGGTGATGCGCTCACCGGGCGCGCAGGCATCCTCGAAGGCGATCGACCTGGGGTTGATCGGCGCGGGTGGCTGGTAGACCTCGGGCATGTCAGGGGGCATATCCGTGGCCATGTCCATGTCTGCGAGGATGGGATTCTTGTGGCCGACGATCGCCTCGGGTAGTGTGCGCTCTGGCTCGAGCGGCGCGGGATCGCGCTCTGCGGAGGGGGTCGATTCGCACCCGCTCATGCTCGAGCACAAGACGATAGCCAGAGAGGTGCGTGTGATGAGAGCGCTCGGGATGAGCCCGCGTGTTGATTTGGCGATCAATGACATGGCGACGATGGAATGAGTAGCCTGGAATCCGACAAGACAGTTGGCCAAGAAGAAGCGCTGGCATCCTCAGACGAGGCCGCGCAGGCGCAGAAAGAAGCCGACGCGCAGGAGACCGCGAGGACCACCGGGCGTGGTTTCCTCGTGATCACCGCAGCCAAGCTTTGGTTTATGGTCACGGGCGCGCTGATCCAGCTCGGGTTGCCGATCGTGTTCGGCTCGGCGGAGCTGTTCGGCGTCTTCAAGATCGTGACGGAGGCGATCGGGCTTCTGAACATGGTCGTGATCACGGGGTCTTTGCAAGCGGTCGCCAAGCTCGTGAGCGAGCGTCCAGACCGCGCCAGAGAGATCGTCAATCAGGCGCTCAAGCTCCAGTTGATGCTCGGCGTGCCGTTGACGCTTGTCTACGCGCTGGCGAGCCCCTGGATCGCTGGTGCGTTCTTTAACGATCCGACGCTCGCGCCGCTGATGCAGGTCTCGAGCTTGATTATCCTGTTTTATGCGTACTACGCGATTTTTGTCGGATATCTCAACGGGATCAAATCTTTTGTCCGTCAGGCATCTCTCGACATCGGCTTCCAGACGATGAAGACGATCGGGATGCTCGGGCTGGTGGCCGCAGGTTTCGGGGTCGCGGGCGCGGTCTGGGGCTTTGCTGGCGCGGCCGGGATGATCTGCCTGATCTCGGGTGTCTGGACGATGCGCATCCTGCGCGCTGGCCAACCCGAGAAAGCTCCCGAGAAAGAGGAGGGCGGCGAGGAGATCGATCGCGATCAGCTCAAGCGTCTGGGGACGTTCCTGCTGCTAGTGATGGCGTACACCTTCGCGCTCAATGGCTTGCTGCGCGCGGATCTGTTCGTCCTCAAATCGATCGCTTCGCGCGCTCCAGAAGCCTGGAGCGCGCTCGCCCCCGTGTTCGGCACCGTGTCGGACAAGTTCGCCGGATTCTACGGCGCCGCGCTCAACCTCTCGAGGTTGCCATATCAGGGCGTGATCGCGGTGACGTTCGTGATCTTCCCGCTGATCAGCGAGGCGACCTTCCAACAGGACCGCGACCGCACGCGCGTCTACATCGAGGATACGTTCCGCTATTGCTTGATCCTCATCGCGGGCGTGGCGCTGCCATTGATTTTTAACGCGGACTCGCTCATCGGCGCGCTCTACTCGACGGACTATCAGGCCGCCGCCGATGCGTTGGCGATCATGAGCACGTCGATCATTTTCTTCGCGCTCTTTTACGTGGCCGCGACGATCATCACCGGCGCCGGTCGCCCTGGCGTCGCGGGGATTCTGATGGGAATCAGCCTGTTGATCAGCGCCGGGCTCAACTGGGCGTTTATCCAGGACGTGCACGCCTCGGTCATGGGGCAACTGAGCTGGACCCCCAGCGCCGCGGCAGAGGCAAGCGGCGCGAGCGAGACCGTACACATGGCGGCGTCGCTGGCCAGCGAGCGGGCGAGCTTTGCCGCAGCCTACGTCAAGTTCGCGCCCGACTACATGAGGGCCGCGGCGATGGCCACGGCGATCTCGATGTTCACTGGCTTCACGCTCGCGCTCGGCTGGCTCTGGCGTGTGTTTGGCGCCGTCCCTCCCTTCCTGACGATCGGCCGATTGTTGCTCGCCAGCGGGCTGCTGTATGGCGTGGACCAAATCGGTCCAGATCCAGTCGCTTACGTGAAAAGTTTGGCGATGGGAGGCATTACGGGTAAGCTCGTGATGTTAGGTGCCGTGGGAGCCAAGATGGCGATCATGGGGCTCGTGTTGCTCGCCGTGCTGGTGTTGACGCGAGAGTTCGTCGCCAGTGATTTCGCGCGCCTGCGCGCGGTGATCGGCCGCAAGAAAAAGAAAAAAGAACCCGAGGAAAGCGAAGATGCTCAAGGATGAGTTCCAGATCCCACACAGGTTGCTCCAGGCGATCCTGTTGTTCTTTATGGCCACGATGTTGATGGGTTCGGACTGCGCACACCGACAGCCGACCATCGAGGATGGCAACGAGCTCGAAGGCGCGCTGCGCTCCTTCCACAAGAACCTGCGCTGGGCGCGCTACGAGGACGCCTCGCGTCTCGTGGCGGACGAATACAAGCAAGTATTTCTGGGGCGTTACGAGGAGCTCGGCGAGGACTTCCACATCACCACGCTCGAGGTCGTCAGCGTCAAGATGCAACCGCTCGAGAAGGGCGAGAAGTGGCCCGAGGCCGACGTCGAGGTCGAGCAGGAGTGGTACATCGAGCCGAACATGACGGTGAAGAAGGACACGTTTGTCGAGACGTGGAACCGCCGTCAGACGAGCTGGGTGCTCAAGGAGCGCGTCACCAAGAAGGAGTGGCGCGAGCTTCAAAAGAAAGAGAAGGAAGAGGCCGCGGCGAAGGCCGCAGCCGAGGCAGAAGCCGACGAGGAGTGACTCACCCCTTGGCGGCGTTCTTGGCGTCCATCATGTTCAGGATCGCCTTGATCTTTGCTTCGCCGAGCTCGGTGATCTGACGAGCTTCGTGGCTCGACTCCTCCTCGTCGCCCTCGCGCATCGAGGCCAACACCGCGCGGTAGCCTTCGAGGTCGCCAAACTCCTCGGCGAGCGTGTGCGTGAGCAGGTGCTTGAACTTCGAGTAGCTCTCCTCGAGGGAGTTGAGCGAGAGCTGGTAGGCGACGTTATCGGCGCCCTCGACGAGCTTTCTCCAGAACGCGATCGAGAGCTCCTGGAGGGCGACGATGTCGCTCTTTTGCTCTTCCATTTCATCGACGATCCTGGCCACATCCGCGAGCAGTGCTTCATCAGCGCGCCTCGCCGCGAGCCTCGCGATATCTCCAGCGAGCGCGCTCCTCATCTCCATCACGCTGCGCGCCACGCGCGTATCGACCTCGCCATCGGCATCGATGAGCAATGAGGAGAGCAGGTCTGTGCCTGCCACCTGCAAGTAGTCACGCACGCGCGTGACGCCCCCTTGCTGGATGGTGATCAGTCGCGCCTGCTCGAGGCGCTTGAGCGCCTCGCGCACAGCGCCGCGGTTGACCCCGAGCATCTCGCTCAGTCCTCGCTCCGCGGGCAGTGCGTCCCCTGGCTCCATACGACCCGAGACGATCTCGCCCTTGAGTTGTTCGAAGACCGCATCAGCCAGAGATTTTTTCTCGACTGGTTTAAAGGTCGTGTCTGTATCGCTCTTGCTCACTGCAACCACTCCTGAGTAGTGCCCAGGAGAGCGCGAAACATCACCTGGACATCCGGATCCCCTCGATAAACAAAAGGTCTATACCATTGACGAAGTGGTCAAAACAATACGTCGTCACGGAATC